AGAAAAAACAACAAACATAGCTATACATCTTATAGTCTTGTAATGAACATCTTAATCTTATAAAATTATGAGTTTAAAGAGGATAAGTATTGAAACGGACACAGAGTTTGAAAAGTCAGTTATGAGTTAGCTATGTGGAATGAAATCTAATAAGGAAATTTAAAAATTTTCGCTTCGCTGACATTAGAAATCAAATTCTTTTACGAAATGTTTTTAGTTGACTGCAAGAAGAGCTAATGTAAACTATAAAGAAAAATAGCGAAGTATGAACAAGTAAACAAACACTGATTTCTCATTTCTAGCAATGAAAATGATATTGATCTAACCCTAAATGGTAAGAATTATTATTCACAAAAAATATTCAACCATCATAATACTTTTTCAAAAGCATTTTATAAAATTAAAAATACCTAAGAAGGATAACAGCTTTCTTTATAAAGCCAGTCAAATAATTTTATCATTAATTTAACAGATATTAGCACACATTGATCTTAGCCAATGTAAATAAGATTTTTTTAAAGAAATAAATCAGTACAGTAAGAGTTTTAGTTGCGTTTAATACGCATTGTCTTGTTTTTTATATTTGACAGCTTAGAAATATTTAAGTATCATCATAAATTTAGAATCAATAGCACAGGGAGGTCAGTGTAGAAATCCAACATTAAAAAAACTCTCAAGACAATAAATTACACAGGCCTGCGACGGTTTTATTGTCTTGAAATTTTTACATGATCTACAGTGATTTCTGTACGCTGAATCCGAAAATGATATCCATTTCTCTCCATTACGTTCAGCTTTTTTCACAAAACGTCATATGTACTTTTACATAAGTGAATAATTTTCATTGAAATCGGTTCACATTTTGTTATGTTTAGAATGTTGACAACCACTGGCTATAGATTTCTCTAGACCAAACGCGACGTGAGAGTCGTATCGATCGTTCTAGTACCGAATAGAAACAAAACAGTAATATATAAATCGTTAACAGGCCACATGACGTGTCATTTCTGGATAGTATTTGTTTGTGCTTGTACTTTGATTTAATTTTCTTTTTTCAATATTATTTATTCGTCGCTATGGCAACAAAAGATTGTATAAGTGACTCAAACATATTCTGTTATATTTGTGGTAAATTTGTTTAAAAGAAACAAAGGCAAAACATTACAGAATTCGTCAGAAAAGCGTATTTGGTGTATTTTGGAATAAAACTTGGGGACCAAGACAAATCATGGGCGTCGCACAAAGTTTACACCGTTTGTGTCGAAGAGTTGAGACAATGGAATAAAGATAAGAAAAAGGCTTTGCCTTTTGGAATTCCAGTGGTCTGGCGTGAGCCTAGAAACCACGGAGATAACTTCTATTTTTGCTCATGTAACGTGCAAGGTTACAACACTCGAAAGAAAAATTTCTTATCCGAACCTTCATTCTGCTATAAGACCTGTTGCTCATGGACCTGATGTACCTGTACCTACTCTTTTGGAGACTCTTGATACAGTTTCATCTGATTCTAAATCTGATCTCAATAGAAATGATGATAGGTATTGTTTTCAACCTGAAACGTCTGATGAACCACAACTTTTCAGAAAATGTGAACTTAATGATTTAGTGAGAGATTTCGGCCTTCGGGCTAAGAACTTACTTTCTCCAGGGACATTTTAATGGTACAGAAATCGTGAGAAAGAGTTTATACCATACTTTTTTGCAAGAAGATTCACTAGTTTATTGCAACAATATTGCTGAATTAATTACTAATCCTAGGAGATGCAGTCATTGAACTAAGTGAGCGGCGATTGTTGATTGATTCCTCCAAAAGAAGTCTAAAAGGTGTTCTCCTTCACAATGGTAACACATATACATCTATTCCTATTGCTCTTTCGGTTCACTTGAAGGAAACGTACGAAAATTTCGAACTTCTTTCACACACACACAAAAATCAAGATGTGTGAGGATGCATATTCGTTTGACATCAGTTTGTTTTTATTTTTGTTAGCAAACATAATAATAAAAAATGTTCATTGTGGTAAGCGAAATAATAATTTGATCTGAGTAAAATTAATTTTTTTCTTCCCGATTTGTAAAAAATCTTTACGTGTTAGAAAGAAATGAATAATATTTTTGAAATCTGTGTAGCTGAATTATGGAAAATCCGTTATTAAAACCAAAACAACTTTTATGAATTCTAAATTCGCAGGCTTGTGTTATTTTAATGTTTCTTAATCTTGTTTTACATCAGCAAAACAAATCCATGACCATTGGTAATGTTTGTTTTACTTCGATAAAAATTGTTAAAAATATGACAGTTAATTATTCTGAGCTATATTATGAAAGCAAATTATTCCCTTTAATTATGAAAAAAGAGGACTACATTATAAATGTTTCATCAATTAATAATTATGAAGAAACATCTTACAAATCAAAACAATATTCTTTTGCACACAAAAGCATAAAAAGGATAGTGAGGGTAAACTTAGAAGAAATTTTAAAAGATAAGGTCGATGATTTTGATTGTTACACAATGGGAAAAAGAAGAAAGAAACCATAACGTCATTAAGCAACATATTAGATAACGTTTTCCTAAAAAAAACAAAAACATCTCAAAATAAGTAAAACATTTAAGACAGCTGGAAAAAAAAGAAACTTAAAAGGAAACTTATCGATCACCTAAAGTCGTAGAAATTGCTTATTAAAATCAGTATATTCATCAAAACATATCTTACTGATCAAATTATTACTTGCTGCGTTTCATCTTTTTATATTGGCCTCAAGTCCGAGTTTCATATTTACCTGTCTTTTAAACAAAACGGAGATGAATGTGAAGAACATACAGAGATCTTAAATGATATATGTATGTCATACAGGCTTTAAAATAATGTTATGTGTAACTTGCAAAGTTCCAGCCGCTAATCAGTAACTTATGTTGCACAAGAAAACATGTTATAAGTTATGATTCGCTGTAATCAAACGTTTACTTTAAAACAAGAAATTACAAATCAGTTACATTTTCTGGTAGCCTCCATTTCATCAGATGTCACCAAAATCTTAATAGTTTAATCACAAGTGCACTGCTTAAATCTCAGAAAATAAAACTTTTTAAATAGAAAACTGAATTATGAAAGAGAAGATTAAGTTAAAAATCCTATGTTGGGCAACATGAATTAAGGATGAAAGATTTTTTTAGGTATTTTTGTGCAAGCAGCTAAATTACCACTTACAAACTATCTTATCTTCTTAAGGCAAAATCATAACACACTGAACTGTGAACATGCTCTGCCATTATGACAAATCACACACTCTAGTTTATGAATAGCTTTAGCAATAATTGACTCTGGGAAAAAAAGCAAAACGTTTTGAGAATGTTAGTGTCCACCGTATTGTTGAGAATATTTACGCTGAGCGGACAATATACTTCTAAACAGTCACTGCCGTTCAGTAAATTAACATTTCGTGTTTTTCCATACTGTGTTTACAAGATCATTTACTGACATACGTTTAAAATTGATTTGATGTATTTTATTGCGTTTTTCCATACTGTGTTTACAAGATTATTTACTGGCATACGTTTGAAATTGATTTGATGTATTTTTTTATAGGTCGGTTACTTTGACTTACTATAACCATTTGAATGAATTAGTCCTCTTCGAAGAACTATCTAAAAGTTGCTTGTAATTGCTTATTGGCTTTACTCCTGTCAAAGGTTGAAAACGTTTTGCGTTTGTGAATTGACATAATTTATAAGATTAGTCTTCGAAATGCAGAAAGTTTAATATTTTCACAAACAATCTTTCGAAAATAGAGAGGAAACTATCGATGGTTGAAGAGCACGTTTATGGCATTTGTTCAATTTAAGATAAAATTTAACTCTTAGTTTTTATCAAACATTTTATTTTAATTGATTATTACACGTTTTCTTCATTATATATATATATATATATTATTTGCGATAAAGTTGTCTCTATTACTTTTGTAGGAGTTTTGGTTATTGTTAATTATTTGTTTGTTTCTTGTCATATTTTAGTACTAATTTTTTGTTTTTATTATCTCTGTCATTTCTTTACTGGCTATAAAGTATATTATTAATTTGTACGTAGACTTATAGTAAAGGGGTTACGCAAAAAATATACTATTTTGATAGAATAAGTATAACTGTGAACACATATGCTGAGATTTACAAATTATTACTGAAACAGTATATTTTATCCTAACTATATAACTTTTTTTATATTTCGGTGCACATTAAAATTTGCCGATTTTTAATAAAGTAGTAAGTGGTGACTTGTTGAAAAAACGATTGCGTGAATTTGCTAGATTGATTTACGTTCATTGTATCTTCGTCTTGGATAGCGTCGCAAAATTTTATTCGTTCATTTTCTGCTCATATCAATATGTGTCGTTATTGTTACAGTTAATGCACTGAAAATTTGAACGTTCTTTGCATGTTTATTGATATCATTCTATAGAACAATTAGCACGAATGCTGTGAAGTAACAGGATTGTGTGGCAGTGTTTAGTAATACTGTGCAATGTTGAAAAACAAAAATGCCAATTGTAAAGTGCCCTTAAATAACAGGTAAACACTACTGAAGACCACAGTGTAAGATTAAGGATGCTAATCAGCACTTACATGTATAACTTTTACGCTGGTGATTAATAGCTACTAAATCTATCCCACTTTTGCATCATCACTGTTTGCCACTCATTGATAAGTCATTTTAGTGGTCAAGAACTAAAACACTAGAATAACTGCAGTTTGGGTTGGTCAGTGAGCTGTTTCATCAGATAATATGTCAAATGAGCTAAATAGATAGTAATTTCTTACTACTAAGAGTTATCTGTCAGTTGCTTAAATTAAAAGAAACAAGAAGACCTAAAATCAGATTTTTTAAAATATGATCATGTTAATGCTTTCCCTTCACCTAAGAAGGCTATGGTAATCATTATAAAAGTTAATAAATCATGCTTTTTAATTAAGACAGTATTACTGTCAATAAATACACTTGTAGGTATCGTCTTTTGGAACAAGCTGAAAGTCCTTGGAGAACCATACGAGTGGATCCAGATGAAGCCTCCACTTTTACCATCTACAATCTTCAACCTAATTCAGAGTACGAATTTCGTGTACTTTCTCGAAATACTTTAGGAGATGGGATGTTTAGTCCAACAGTTAGAGGCAAAACCACCCGTAAGTGTTACTTATAATGGAAGGGGAGACATCTAATCTCCTTATATCATTTGTTAGTTTATGACCATTTGAGAAGTGTGTTTTAGTAACTGTGAGGAAATCCATCGTGCAAATTTTCAAATGTTTTTCAATAGAGTGAAGGCAGAGATAGTTAAAAATATTCTCGAATTATGTCAGTATGTAAATAAATAATCATCAAATTGGCATAGTTTAATGCTTGTTTATAGTTATTTGGAAGACGTCTTTCATTAACACATTTTTGATAAAATATTTAATGTAGCCTGGGACTTCCTAGGAGGGGTGTATCCTACTGATGCTTATGGTGCCACGTATATTCCTACAGTGCAGAAACCATCTGGTAAGCTCAATTTTAGAACAAGATTGTTCTATTGAAGTCAGTTTGGTGTTTAGTGTTACAAACAAAAGTAAAATTCTTACAATTATTATATGATTATTAGCCAAGTTGTTTTCTGAGTAACTTCTATGTTATATTGCAAGAAAGTAAAGTCGAGCGCAGTGAACAAATATGTAAAGAAGGTACCCCTGTTATGCAAACCTTAAACTTGTTTATTATCGGATATTATTAATTTATCAAAAATGCCTACATATATTAAAATTGTGTTTTCAACACAAATGTCACTGTGTAAGATATTTGAAACTGTTTTGTTTTAGGTTTTCTTAACGATTATAAGAATATTAACTTTCTAATAGTAGGTAATACTCAATACTGGGTAAAGTAATGTTTTGAATACTACTTCGAAACAACACCAAATTGATTAGAATACAATTTTCGACACTTTCATGTGTCCTCTTTTATTATGGAAATTCCAAGTCCTTTAACGTCAGAAATGAGCTCCACTTCGATTGACTTTCAATGGTGTTTGAAGTTTGCCAACCTTTGGATTAACGAACCTTCCACAATTTTTCTTTTGACATAATTTCTAGTTTTTTATTTTACTTTGGCTAATTTCCAGTTGATTTCACAATCAGGATTTGTCTTATGTACAAAAATAGCATTAACTGCTTGACTATTGTCAACAACAATTTTACGTTCCGCAGGTCATGTAAAACTCAACCAATCAAATACCAATGTATCCATCCACTAGTTTTTGGTGTTTCCTTATTGTAGTTGTTGTAGCTGATGATGCCAGGTGAACCTGGTGAAATTTCGTAACCACAGGTATTATATCTGTGTATCCGATGATAAATAAGTTTTAGGTGATCAAACATACTTTATTTTGTCATCATAAGCACGTCATACACCTTACAAAGCGCAAAGAATTTGTTCAAACTGAGTAGGAGTTACAACAATGTTTTGAGACTTTTGCTGCAATATAATGCCCTATCGATATCTTAGCTCAAATTTTCTTTCTTATCGGTCTAATTTTACAGATAGAAACCTTACATTAATCAAACCTGTCGCTCTTCATTTGGTCCTGACGTGTTTCTTATTTCAGTTAAGTTAAGCCGTGGACAGATAAGTTTTGACAACGTCTTATAAAACTGTCATATGAAAAGATAGATTTATCGGATTAATAAAAATGAATGAGATATTTTTTTTTCTTTTCATTTTTTTTTCTAGAATAAAACGTTAATACGTGTTGTTTAAAAGGTGGTTTAGGAGGAGGATATTTTTTATCTTGACTGTTTTAACGAACTCTATCCACCTGATTCGGTTTGCTAGCAGATATTAGCTCATAAATTAATGAGATATCAAATTAATAAGAAATAACTGAGTTAACATTAGAAGCTACACCTTTTTTATTTGTCGTATGGACTTCGCATTCATAACAGTAGCTTTCATGTTTCTAAACACGAAAAAAAATCACAAAATTTTGAAATATTAAATTTGACTTAAGCGCTGTTTTAAATGTATTTTGTAGACAAAGTTAAGATAACAGCATATGCTTAAACAGAATTGATAATCAATACTAAAGGCTTTGGGCATTGAGCGAAGTAACTTAACCTAATCAGTTATATTAATGCAGAAAGAAGCAAGATGTAAATACAGAATGACAATACAGTTGTGTCAGAAGAATGTTAGCAATGAATACTGACTGATAAAAATCTTTACATAATATACAGGCCCCAAGCCTTCTCCTCCACGTAACGTTACTGTTCAGGAGACAGAGAATGGCCTCCTTATTTCGTGGCTTCCACCACTTAACCAGAAAGTTCCTGTGGCCTTCTACTACGTTGAATATCGCACCCAGTCCAAGCCCTGGAAGCGTTGGGGACCAATTAAACACGCTACGTCTTACCTAGGTAAAATATTATATATTGCTTTGTTTGAGACGTTAATATATATATATATAGCTCACGTAACCTAGAACTTTTCATGTCTGAAAATATAATAATCATATTGATAGTTATAACCATGTAGACGTTAAAATATCCAATTTATTATACATAAGCAATTTAAATTTAAATAAACAATTGTAAACTGTGTTTGCTGAATATAGAAATTCAATATCTAAATATAACTGTATTACCGCGTGTTTCGCAGACTCACCAAAAATGTAATTCTTAATAACAAATAGCCGAGATCATAACATTGCTCATAAAAATACCGAAAATTCCTTCAAGATGTGAAATAAAATGAAGTAAGCAAAAGTTCATTTAGTGTACATAACAAATCGTGCAGGTGGATTAATAATTACAAGGTTTGTGCAAGATTACAAATCGTCGTAATTTAGTATATTTGGAACGAAACGGAATTTAAAGCTGTAACAAATATGGGAAATCGATATATATATGAAATAACCGTGTTTCTTTATTATGTGCAGTTTAATGTAATTAGGACTTTACAGCACCACGTCTGTAAACTGTTCAGGTGGTTGAAAGAACTGTTCGATCGTGACAAACTCTCACTAATTAAACTGGTGAAAAACTCCTGAAAATCATCACTACAACGTATAAACAGTGACTTTACTGCACCAATACGGTGACAAGTGACGGGAACTATTGTAAGGTTAGTATAACATGATGTTCACTTTACTGTACCCTCACAATGGTTCCTGTAAACTTGTCGTCGTATTGGTGTAGTAAAGTGAACAGTATGTTACAATGACATCACAATGGTTCCCGTAAACTTGTCGTCGTATTGGTGTAGTAAAGTGAACAGTATGTTACAATGACATCACATTGGTTCCCGTCACTTGTCGTCGTATTATCATTGTAACATACTGTTCACTTTACTACACCAATACGACGACAAGTTTACGGGAACCATTGTGAGGTCATTGTAACATACTGTTCACTTTACTACACCAATACAGTTGAAGCAATGGGAACCATTGCGCGGTTAGTGTAACATGCTTTATTAATAGGGTTACTTTGGAAGGGCTGGTACCTGCAAACCACGCATCATCCTCAAGAATGCTCAATACTGATTAGGTTGGTGTAAAACCGTCAGCATAATAACTCTGAGGACCTGTCCGTTGTGAATTTTATAGTGATGAAAGCAGTTTCATCCAGTTACATGTTGATGGACAAAAAAAAAAAAAGAAATGTATGGAGACAAGTAGATGGATAATCTAACCATAAATGATTTGTGTCAACTGTGTTATGATGTGAGCTATCTTCTGTGCATTTGTATAAGATCTACCTGTGAGCTGTCTACATATAACTTGTTCAACCTATGGCTGTTTTAATAGTAATGACATCAAAGTATTGGTTGGTGATAGCCTGAAGCCTAATCTTATAGATTATCTTTGAAAACATCTGGAGAGATTGATTTCGTAAATTAGACATCAGTCTAATGAATAAGACAAACTTTATCTTACATTTATCGAAACCTATAAGACAGCATACAGAAGTTACTGAAGCCAAGAGCAATGCTACACCATCTTAGGACAGTAGTCACTATAACCCCCTCTTCTATGACTACTTGTTCATATACTGGCAGCAGGACAACTCTTAACATCTGAATTGCGTCTAAAATTCTAACAGTTACTCAACTACTACTTAATTATGTTTTACCTATATATTATTGTCTGTTCACCTTAACAACACCTTATGCACACAATGAACTAAACGACCACGTAACAGACTCATATGCTTTAAGCATAGTCTTCCTTAATTTTGAACTGCAGAACAGAGGGAAACAACCATTCGGAAGAACCTTACACCTAAAGTGACCCAATAAATGAATAGCGAGGCTCACTGTCACTATTATAATGAACCACAGTTGGAAGTGCAAAGCGTGTTCGGTAGCACCACGATTCAAACGCGGGAACGTTGAATTCATTACCGGTCCGATACGCTAACCATAAAGCCACGCTTGATTCGTGTATTACTGAGTATATATTTCAGTCTGATTGAATTCTCCTTGGTCAACTAATATATAATCAACTTCATGAAAGGTGTATTATATATGTGGCAAAAAGTTCTTAAGCAAATGTTACCTCAAATATATCGCTCATCGATGGCCTAGCGGTAATCTTGAGCGCTTTTAACACTAAAATCTGGGTCCGATACCCGAAGTGACATATCACAGATTGCCTGTCGTAAAACATTTCGCTTAAAACCATTTCAAATATATCTGCAACGTGGATAAACTAAAACAGATTTATTCATAAGTTATCATAGATACATTCATACTAAAGCTAATAGAAAATTTATTATTAAGATAAAAATTAAACAATTTCGTATCACGCATTCATATGATTAAGAATGCATATGTTTAATCTAATTAACATAACAATTTATCATACTGATTTTTGTTTAGCCTATTTCTTTCGTGATTTTTTTATTTTTTTAATTTTGACCAAAAACGTACAGGGTTACTAATTACGCTACTTAGGTAACATTCACAAATTAGTCTAAAAATGAGCACTAAATACAACTGCATTAACATACTTAGAAATACGTTAGAAATTTTTTAATTAACAAAAATGCCCGCTTACAGATTGCAAATGTGTGAAATGTATACCTTGTGTAACTTTAAAGCTCACGATGATTGTTAGCCTTTAGAGTGGAATTTTACAACCGAACGTTTGTCTCATTCAAATTAAGTTTCATCCAATTACACTATACTAGTAGTGAGCTGATTTTGCAAAGGGCACTTGACGAGTGTTAAATGAACAAACACTGTTCACTCAATCTAACAGAAAAATAACACAAATTGAAACAACGGCAAAGACAATACCACCAAATACCTGGTGGCCATCAATACTAGTAAGCCACCAAATGTTATCCATTTTATTTTCTAAAGATATGTTCTTACAATAGCATGAATAACCATGGAAATTTGTGATAAAATACCCGAAATAGCGTTGTGACGTTGCATTTACTTTAGACATTTTTGTGTGTTAACTGAATGAAAGAAATAACTAATGAATATTGCTAGGAGGCAAATAGTAATAAACATATATAAAATATAATTTGATACGCTTTCCACAATGTGTAACTGAGGAACATTAATAATAACATTATCATATATGATTGTATATTATTTATTATAACACTAGTACTATTATTTAGTAGAATTCCAGACCATATTTCATATTAATTCGAATCTTCCTAATTATTAATATTGTTAATACGCGAAAATGTGCTCCTAAACATAAATGGCTTTGTCACATTGTTTCTCATATTTTATCTCGTCCTTTCTCGGTTATGTAAAAATTATGTAAAAAGCATATTTCAAATACTGATGGTAAATATAGGATATTCCTTCGCATCAAATCTCCTATTTAGTTTCCTGAACAGGCGCAAATAATTCAAGCATACAAACTGCTCGAGGCCATCCAGCAACTTACATTCCCCTCCACTCCCTGTCTTCAGAGGATTTCTAAAGAAGTTAAGTCAATAAGTACTGGTTGATATTCTGTACTACAGCAAATTTAATAATGTTCGTGTCAAACATTGTTCATGGGGAGTGTTTGAATTTTCTTTTTTTTAAGTATAATAAACACTTTTCATTCTTCGAATTTTTGGTTCGTATAGAAAATATGAGAAGTAAAACCAAGATATTGTATATCCTCTCAAATTATTGTGACTTTAATAATTCAAATTATGAAATGGTTCAGCGTAAGCATCTCATTGGACAAAACATTCTTAGAGATTAAACGAAACCACAGTTTCTAAGTGCAATTCACTGAATGTAGAGTATATCTATACACATATAAAACATTACTAAAGTGCTAAATTATCTCGATTGTAATTGAATATTCATTAATACTGAACATTTTCCCTCTTTTGATAGCCAAGGAATTAGCTCCTGGCCATTACAACTTTCGTGTATATGCCTACTCTATTATGTCTGTAGGACAGGCCAGTTCAGAAGTATCTCTCACTTTAGCAGGTATGATATGTGATATTCATTTCTTTATTTACTGCAATATCGGTGTGAAATTGTAAGAAGTTTTTGTTTTACATTATTTAAAAATGAAATATTATAATTTAATACGATCTGATTTAATAGAAAATACAACCATTAATTTGATAATATTATTGTAAGTCTCGGATAAAGAAAATACATAGTAAGTAACATTCAGATTTGCAGTGTACTTAATACAATATTTTAAAAATGTTACTTGTTACGTAAGACACTACCTTTCTGAACCTGGATAATTTTTTAAAGCATATATTGGCTCGGTAAGCGTGAAAACATCGAAATACCAAAGGCTACATTTTGGAAACTGAATGAATAATTAGCAAATAATAACTTTCGGTCGATGGTTTCTTCAGGCACATTAATAATTCACTAGGTAAGAAAAACATGTACTTTATACGGTATTAGTTGTAAAATATGAAATGAATTGTATCATGTTGATCAGTTAGGTTTCACATTGGAACATCGTGTCTGATCTGATATGTTTCATACTGCAAGAAGTTGCATATTAAATTATGTTTCATCATATCATAGCCCAAATAAACATTCGATACACCATAATGAGTTATTGCCACATAAAAGAATATTTAAAAAACACGACTGAGCAGTTACTGGATTCTCCTTGCTACCCAACAAATAATGTAATTCTCCAGATGGTTTGAACTAAAAGTTAAGATAACTATGAACTTTATACTAACTGTCAACATATTATCCTGGATAATAATGTAACTTTTCATAATAATTGTTTAATAGATGCTAATATATTTAAATAATGTGCTGCAATATGAAACACGACGGATCATATGTTACGTTGCAATAAGAAACATACCGAATCATGTGCTATGTTGCATGTTTGTACATCTCTTTTTTTTTTTAGCTGAAAGTTATGAAGTGACAAAAAGTCGTGCTATAACTGCTGGCGTCGTGGGAGGAATTTTGTTCTTCATAGCCGCCATAGTGCTCTCTGTTTGTGCCGTCAAGATTTGCAATAAAAGGAAACGGAGAAAGGCAGAAAAAGGTAGATAAGCAAAAACACAATGCTTTTCTTCTGCCATTATTTGGCCTAGAATATTATGCTTCAAGATAATTATAATTGATAGTTTTATAAATTAAAAGATAAATATAATTAATTACTTGTGGTGTTTTTTTTTCTTAAATCATAAAACACTTTACTGACATCTTAGTTGTCCTCAATATGCATATTATAGGTTTTAATTAACCACATTGTTTGAGTATATACGTTTTTAGTGTATTTGTATGCTTAGCGAGATACAAGTGACAAGCTTGATTTTGAGGTTTGCTATTTTTAATTGGATATTTGGAATTATTTAAAATAAAAGCATACATTCTATATAGATATTTTTCTGTTAAAAATGTTAATTTCATTCCATTAAACTATCGTCACCTCAAATTCGCGTTCTTGGCCAATTCTTTGTCTGACTTTCTGAATACTTTTCAATTTAACATAACACTCGAATAATTTGGCCAAAAAAAGACAAAAACAATGCATAAATTTGTCACTTAAACATACATTTTAAAATTATGTTACTCGAGAGTTATCTGCATTAGCCATCCCTAATTTTGAAATAATAGACTATAAGGAAGGCAAATTCTAAAATTATAACTCAGCCCAAATACTTATGTACGTTGATTTTTATTGCCTGAAATAATCAGGTAAAATTACCAACTTTAGAGATGTTAGCATTTAAAGCCCTTAGGGTTTTTTAGTCTCTCTTTTTTTTTTTACAAAAACGAAGAGAATCTACAATAAATTTAAATTTGTAATATACTGTATTTTTTCAAAGTATGATTTTAAACCTTTCATCTTTTCAGCTTATATGATGGTGACTTGCCCTGTTGCAGAAGCTAGAAATGGGGGCCACTCTCATGGCGGCAGTCCATCACCGATAAAAAAGTACGTATTCAATTATTTAAACGATATTTTCAAGTTACGATACGTATGAAATTATTATTTGTAAAATGGAATGAATAAGACAAAATATTTTTGTTTTCAAAAATATTCTAGTATGATAATAATGAATAACACGATATCATAATGAATAACAAAGAAATACATCTAGAACATAATAAAATTTGAAAATAAAAATAAATGATTAAATCCTGCAAGATAAATACTTGCGTGGGCAATATTTGACTAAAATGCTGAAATTATAGTTGTCTTTATTTACAGTATTTTTAACAACTTCATTGCAATGATATTGAACATATTTTAGATTAAATTAAACAACAGTATGGAAAATATTTTATTTCTCCCAAATACATATATATTTATATATATATATAGTCGTCAGGATGTCAACTAGTCATTTTAATTCTGTGACAGATAGAGAAAGTCTTTCATAATATATATATCCAAAAACAATACTGTATACGGATTGAACAGTTTCAAGCAGTATTATAACATATTTTTTAAGGGAATGTGTTAGTCGTGTTTTGAATGTTTACCTGGCGATTTTGTTTGATTTCCAAATGATATTTTTTTCCTTTAAAGGAACATAGATTTTATGTATATATATATATATTTGTATATACTGTTATAAACATAATATGGGAAACAAATAGCGTATAGTTATATTTTTAGATTTGGTAAAAGAAATGCCTGTGGACAATCACGTGCTGTAATACATTAACCAAGCAAGATATATTTTTATAATATAAAGTTTTGTTCGTTCTGTCAGGCCCCCTAGTGGCACGGCGGTATGCCTGCGGATTTACAACGCTAGAATCCGGGTTTCGATACCCGTGGTGGGCAGAGCACAGATAGCCCATTGTGTAGCTTTGTGCTTAATTACAAACAAAACAAAACAGAATCAATCGTTCCGTCAGATGATTTTTATTACACTTTGACAACTGCCTATGGCAGTTTATATATTTTAGTTCTTTACAGATTTCGTATCGAAACCTTAATTATTATCAGATTTGACTTATTTTGTAACAATAAAATAACTCTATACGATAACAACAATGCGCATAAATGAAACGAATTGATCAATATTTCCTGCTGTTACTAATGTGATGTTTCGTTGTTACGTCAATAAAAACGAACCTCCGTAATGGATTAAACATTTTACTGATTTATTAGTAAAGTTTTGTTACAATCTACAGCGTAATCAAATAGGTTAAACAGTGAGAATACAGTGTCCATTTCATCTGTGCTAATCTTTTCATAAAATACAATAATATTTGGTTTGGAACTACACTGTTAAAGCATTAACAAAACCAAATTTTTAAATTATTAAAACTGTCAAACCAGCCATCCCAACTGAAATACATATACTCATCATATCTTAAAAACTATCATTTTATATAAGCTAAACCTCACTAAACGCTCGGCTTTAGAGTTGAGCTTGTAATTGTTCTGTTTTTACCTGATGTCCACGTTATTATGCAGTGATTATAAATCTCATGCGTAATGGTCTTGAGCGTATAGTATAAACAGTTTTATTTTTCAATATATTCTACAAGCATTCAAACGCTTTCATCATATTTAATCCGATAATGTAAGTTGTCATATTTTCAGCATATTGCTTATATTTTAAAAATCTCTATACAAGAAATATTTCGGATGTATACTCAAATGTTTTTTGTCTCGTGCATTTAAATTTCTTGCATGCGTAACACTTCTTATTTTGGGCCCGGCATGGCCAGGTGGATAAGGCACTCTACTCGCAATCTGAGGGTCGCGGGTTCGAATCCCCGTCCCACCAAACATGCTTGCCCTTTCAGCCGTGGGGGCGTTATAATGTGACGGTCAATCCCACTATTCGTTGGTAAAAGAGTAGCCCAAGAGTTGGCGGTGGGTGGTGATGACTAACTGCCTTCCCTTTAGTCTTACACTGCTAAATTAGGGACGGCTAGCGCAGATAGCCCTCGTGTAGCTTCGCGCGAAATTCAAAAACAAACAAACAAACTTCTTATTTACTTGATGAATATCACACTCATTTATAAGAAAAGGACCCGTAACAACAGTACAACGAAATCGAAACTTATTGATTCCAACAGTATAGCTGTTGCTTTAATTAAATACATCTTTAGATATTCTTTCACGGTTTTATCCTATGAATGCATCTATCAGTGACAACTGTTGAGTAAAACAACACGGAGAACCTCTTTCTATCTTATTTAGACACATGGGAGTCCGTAGAAATGTTTCCAGGGGGGGGGGCAATCGTAAGCTCTGTATAGATCAGAACAAAAATGGAATTAAAAGTACACATGTATACAATAATGAGGAAATTCCGTATAAAAAACAGATTAGAAACTTATAATGCCATAAGTCGATATATCTAAAATTTATAATAATATTTTGAATATTAATACTCTCTTTGTTAACAATATTTTCGGCAGTAATCCCAATAATATATTATTAGGCTTCGAAGTCACGGATTAAATTTTTAATTTTACCTTTGGTGAAGTAAAAATTAATCTGTAATATAATCATTAAACAGTTGGTCCACTGCATAATACAAATAATAAATTAGGCGCAATGTCATAATATTATACACACTCCTACATTAATTTAGGTTGCTATGTGGTGAGTTAAAAAGGACTTAAACAAACCCATAAATACATTGTGAGATTCGATGAGATTTAAAAAATTAGATCAGTCCTAAATCAAAACAAGAATTATTTACAAAGAAAAGTGAAATAGGCTGTATGTTGTTTTTTTTTCATATAACTGATGGTGTTACTCTGAATATTTATTTTTATTTTTTCTTTACATTGGCTTCTCGATTCGGAAAGAAGAAAGAGAGGTGACTTTTTTATTTCTTTAATTTGTTTTTGCCATTTGAAAATCAGTATTTTTTTAGAGTTTCATAGAAATGAGGGTTTCTCCTTTGAACTGAATGAAAAGCTTCTTCTACAACTGACGTGCATTCATAAAACAAACATATAAAATTTTCATAAAACAAACATTAAGAATTAAATGAAATAATGTATGATGGCTTTATACCTGGTGTTCACCTAAATTTGATATTATTTACTCATCAAAATTAATTTATAAACAATTGAATTATGTATATATTCTTCTGTTTGTTTTACACTGTGCCTAAAATATATGAAAAACGTTTCTTGACTTCGTAATAATCTACTGAATTTTACCTGTTATGCAGCAAATGAAGATGGAGGTACATTAGGTAGGAAGTTATCAAATCCTTTTGTTTGTGGCTGACACAATATTAATTACGAGAAACTTTATCTGGCGAAAGAAACGTTCAAGATATAATTTGTCAAATGCCGACATTAATGAATCAAATGAACTTGCAACTCGTAAAAGAAATGCCTTATAACAATACCTAAAAGCCCCAAATGTAATTCAAAAGACATAATAGCTTAAAGTATGAGGTAAATAATAAGAAAGAAGCAAAAAACCCCAGCTACTAGCTTTATGCACTTGAGTCCAATATCTATCTATCTATATATATATATATAATTCGATGTATAATTTAATAATTGAATAACATAAGTATGTTTTATTGCCATCTGCATGCAGTACGGTTCTATATAACAATCCTTCATAGACACTTTAAGAATTATTTTTTCATACCTGCAAAAAGTACTTAGGACATATTATTGTACTTTTTTTCGGATTGTTATTATCAAATCATTGGTTACTTTTTATGCCAGAATAATAATGATAGGTACGTAAAAGTAAAAAATAATAATAATATTTTTAAAAAATGTCAATTGAGATTTCTATGTATTCTTTGCATTAGAACAAATTTTAAGCAGCTTCTCATTTTAGCCTAATTCTCAAGTAAAGCATAAATATATGTACGACTTTATCTTCCAAGGCTTCATTTCCTGTTCGTATAGGAAGTTAAAAGCAGTTTCTTACTTCAGTACATTTAGATTTGCCACCACAACTGTATATAATATTACCGGTTGTTTTCGGAAGTCGTTAAGACTAAGGCCGGATCATTCTCCTACATAATTAATGGCTCACAATAGTGTCTTGCTTCAGCTTAACGGTTTCCACAGGCAAAACGTCGTTCTAAGGTACAAGAAACTCTCGTCTACTGGAAAAACAAGTAAAAAATAAAAATTCTTCATTATTTGCTTTTTAAAGAGAAGAAAATCTGATCATTAACAAGAAATTAAAATGCTCACTGGGTATACGGAATCGACACACAGACGTATATTTTGAAAATATTGAAATAAACCTGCCCGGAAAAATTATATATTTTATTTTAATTATGCGTCTATTTTCGATGCAAATAAAAATGAAATCCCTCAAATGAAAAAAAAAAAATTTGGAGGAGGGTATAAGAGGGGAGTTGTCAGTATCACGATTTAATGGTAATTATTGTATTGGACGGCGGTCTTAAGATTACACTCGTGGGGAAAACGCGTAATTATCCTTTCCCACTTTATGCATAATATTAACTTCCCTTGAAGTGAAACTATGCATCTTATATATATATACACTTTTCTTATTTTTTGTGGAGTATTTTGCTTTGAATAACTATTACTAACAGCTAAACATTTTTATAATATGGATACCGTTTTTTTTTGTTGTTGTTTCAAATGATGTGTTTACTTCAGAGCAAAGACTTGAAGAAGGTATAAATTGTTAGTTTTAAAAGTGGGTGTAAACAAAAATTCACAAAATACAATTCTTTATGTTCTATAGAGATCAATGTATTTCTCTCAAGTAGGATTGCATGTTTCGAGACTGTGTTTGTCATGTCTGTGGTACATTTTTGTTTTAAATAATACGGTTTGTACACGGAGATCTTTTAAAAAAGATTTTACGTATTTTATATATAATTACTTCACCGTACATGACACGTGAACGGAATGAAACTTGGCGATATTGGATTACACACTTTGGAGTTTCGACGGATTGACTGACACGTTAAATATGTCTTCCTTCCTGTGATATCACGTAGCATATCATTGCACGTAACACCTTCTGAATTGTGTCCTGGGTAATTCCGTACAGAGAGATAAGCACCGCCAGGGTTTAAATTAGGTAACACTGGAAAGCACAATAACTCACGTCCATAG